CCCCAAAACCCCAAAACCCCAAAACCCCAAAACCCCAAAACCCCAAAACCCCAAAATCAATGATCACATTGAAATTTAAAAAAATTGGAAAATACATGCAAGTAGAGAGCAAAGAAATAGAGGCAACAGCTGGAGAACATCTTGAGAGGAATAAAGCATTGGTGAGTGAGAGATAGTAACCGAGGTTTAGCCAACTGCTTTAGACGAAGAATCTGTGATGAGCTTCCTGAAGATGGGCCTGAGTTTTAATAGAGATGAAAGAGCTCATGCACAAGGGTTCTTTCAAGTTGCAGAAGAGTGTAAGTTAGATAAGCAAACTGAAAGCTTACCCTTTTATCTCCTCCTGGTTGAGATGATAAAGAAGTATCAAGCAATAATCAGTGAAAATACTGAAGTAAGTCTTTGGATCTAGCAGTTATATATTGTATAGAGTCAAGAAGAAGACCAAAAGTGGCAATTTCAACTCATTCTACTGCTCAAAAACAGTCTGAGTAAGTATTCTCTTTCAAGTAAATTTCAGTGAAAATTCTCATATTTAAATTTTAGAGAGAAACTTGGGAAAAGTTATCTACAATAATAATACAAAGACCAGTGTCATAAGTGAAGATATTAAAGATGCCCTGAAAGCTGAGCTTCTGGACATAGTCAAGGATCCAAACCTAGAGGAGAAAGTCTATCAAGAAATCTTGGAAATCATAAAGTTATTTATTGATGAAGAATTTCCCTCCTCATGGCCAGAATTTATTAACAATTATCTGAATGGTTGTATTTCTCATTTATTTGATGCCTGCTGCAATTTCAGTAATTACTCTGAGGAGGATAAAGGTATACAATATTTCTAATACTTTAGTTCTCTTCAACAGATTCTTGAACCTTTACTTAAGCACTATGAAGAAAGCCAACACTGCAGAGAAGAGAAACTCCGAGATAGTCCCAGTAAGTTATTCATTTTCGTGGAAATAATATTTATTGTAGCATCTAGTTGAGATGTCAAATATGACAAGTTTCACAGATTTCACTAAATCAGAATTTGATCCTGAAAATGGTTGGGACAATGAAAACAGTGCCGATCCTTCAAATACAGAAGCAATGTGCACAATTCTTAAGATAGATAAGCTCACCTTGATGATCATGCAGAAGAGCTTCTCACTTGATGGTATAAGACACAGAGAAGATATTGAAGTGTACTTGAGCCTGATGAATATTTTTTGTAACAAGCTATACTTCTGAGTGAAATCTATCAAATCAGTTAAGCACCATATTATCCAGAACCCTCAAGCTCTATGAACTGATAATATAGGAATGATAGCTCAGAACTCATTGAATAACTTGAATGGGTACTGAAAAATGATTCTGAAATATCTCAAGAAAATCCTTGGAGCCCATCCTCTTTTGTTCATACAAGTTTATAAAAATTTTCTAGAAATTTGCTTTGATATTTTCTTCGAGTGCAACTTATTCAGTCAAATTGTTCTTCGAAAAGCAGTCAAAGTTATTCAAATGGCCTCTAACTTTGAAGAAAATAAATGGACAGAGAGGTAAGAGAGCACCTGTAACATTCTAGATTGCAAAACTTTCCCGCAGAGTTAAATCAGCTGACCGATCAACATGCTGATATTTTTACGACAGAAAACATCAGAAGGATTGCCTCATTCCTTGCTATCAATTTCTTAACAATCGGGTGTACTGATTTCTACAACGAGGTATCAGACTACTCAGGGTTATCGTAAGTTGTCCAATACGAAATATAGACTTCTACCAGATACAGTGCTATGAGAGAAACTATGCCTGAACTTCCTTCCAACCATGGAAGAATGGATAATTGATTGCTTGAAGATTATCCTCAAGAAACCCGATTGCCTATCAAGTATCCTCAGAGAAGAGATAGACTGCCAAACCCTTGGACAAGAGCAAACACAAGCTGAGAATCAGCATGTTGAGGATGCCATCTTTGTAATGATTGGGCTCTTGCCAAAAGTTTACACCCTCAAAAATGTAGAACAGCAGAATTGGATTGAGATTTCTCATATCATGGAGTATTTAGAAAGCAAAATTCATAATGATGAGAGATCCATGTTTTTCAAACTCAGATACTGACATTTACTGTCAAGATGGATGCCTTCGTTTGATGTCCCGAGACTCTTAAAATATTTGGATAGAATTTTGATCTTGTTAGCAAACTGAAGTGAAAAGAGCACAGATCTGGTAGTGAGATGAATAAATTTAGTATCCAGTTTCTTGAATCAGCTGAAAAACTTTGAAATTGACATCAAGGATACTCCAGAAATGACTTCTACACAAGCTGACCACCTGGATTTGATAGTGAAAACAGTGAATTATCAGACAATTTTCAATTTCTTAATTTCTTCAAAACTTTTCAGTGAAAATTACACCTCAAATCTTTCCCCATCTGAGCTGCACAGCTTGACTGATTTGATGAAGACTATTATAAATGATATTGACCTTAATGAAAACGCTGATGGGACAATGGCTCTTTTAGAATACTTGGACTTTATAGCTGATAGTCACAAAATCAACTGGAACACAGAGTCTGAAATAATATCTATCTGGGAAATTGTACTTAGGAGTCTAAGAGATAACGCACAAATGATCCACAATGCTCTTCTGAAACTCGAAGTTATTACAGAAAACAAGAACTTTCAGTCTTTTTGGATCCTAGATTGAGGTTACCAAAACCAAAGTAAGCCAAATATGTTATGAAATATAGATCAGCCTGAAGGTTCTACTTTGTTAAGCATTTTCATTCAAAATGCTAGATGTAGCACGTTAGAGGCTCAAGTAGAAACTCGGATAATCAAGGTGCTCTCCAAGATCCTGATTGAATTTTGCAGTAGCGCTAAGCTAAAAACTTATCCACTGCTCAGGATAAAGACTGATATTGTAAAATATCTTTCACAAAAACTAGTACTTCACCTTCAAACTAGGAGAGAGGTACCATGCATATTTTCCTCCAACAGCGAAATAGACAATCAGACTCTAAATTCTGGGGAAAGTTATACCGATCTCTTCACAGAGTCATTGATCTTATGTAAGCTTCGATTTAACAATCTAGGATCTGAAGAAATTTGCTCTAGTAAATATCACGATGAGACTCCTGATATCAAAGATTTCATCACCTGTATATTTAACTACTTCAATATTGGTCTAACTACTTCTTGACATTTAAGAAGACATCTCTTTTCTCAAAGAAGCTCAGCAGAAAACTACAAAGTAAGTATTTGGTTTCTAAATTTGAAGGTCCTTATCTCTTGGGCAACCAGAATGTATCAGGGGAATATGGCAAAGCACAGATCTTTGCACCAGATTGGATTCACTACAATCATCAAAACTGTCCTGAAATCATTCAATGATAATTCAAGTCACGAAATCAGAGAAGACTTGAAGAGTCTCATATGCTCTTTTACTGAGAAACTGGAAATCAGCCAGAGTGATTTAGAGGAAGTAATCAATGGAGAAAAGGTCGAAGAATTCTCAAATATGGTCAATGAAACCATCCAAGATTATATTGTTGAATAATTCAGATACATTTTCAGTGTCGTTTTAGTTTAATGGGGTTTTGGGGTTTTGGGGTTTTGGGGTTTTGGGG